AAAAGAAAAAGGAAAACAAACAACCCAAAAAAGTTATTTGTAGTTTGTGCAGTGGTAGGTGACATAAAAACCTGCCTGGAGGTGGCAGGACAAAGGAGAATGGTTTCACACTGATAGAACATAATTAGAATTGTTAATGAAGCAAAGAGCAAAACCCCTCAGCGCCACAGAACTCAGCACAGACTGAGGGAGAGGAGCCTTAAGAACCAGATCCAGCCCCAAGGAAGAGCAACATGACATGCAATAAACGGATGCACAGTCCTTCAGCAGGGCATGTACCATGTGGAACTAGCTCAGAAACAGCAGAGATTTCTGAATAGAGAGTTCAACCAAATCCCTGATTTTTTAGAGCGTTAGTGACACACACACTCCTGAAACCACTGTGGGAAGGACAAAGCCCCTGAGATGCTGAGTTCCCTGCAGTGGCTGCTCCCCAGCAGCAGCTCATACCCATCTTCAGGAGCTGCCAGCGAGGACAGAGGGTGAGGAGCAGTGTTCCCTGAGGAGCTCTGGGGGAGCCATGTGGCTGCTGGACTTGAGGCTGTCCCTTCCAGGCTAGAGCTCACCAGGGATCGGGAGGAGCTCTGAGTCTGCAAGAAAGACATTCAGAAGAATTTAGGCTTCAATGATATGTAGGCAAGATTTGGGATTGCACCTGAGCACTGCTGGTAACACACACAGAGATGTGGGAACCACGAGGTGGCTTCAGGCACTGTAATTAATGCAAAAAAAGGGAACTCTTAAACACTTCAAACTAACCAGGAAAGCACCTATTTAACTTCTGCTTTTACCATCTCAGACTGCCCTTCTCTGCAGGAAAAAAAAAATCCAACCATGGTGTGGCAGTTACCCCTTTTTGCTGAGTTTACTTCCCGGCTCAGGCACTGCAAGAAGTGCAAACAACCCAACAGCTACTCACACAAGCAATTTTCAGCAAATGCCAGATCTCCCTTTGTCTTTTTCCCTGCATCTGCATCACTGAGTTGTCAGCTTCCTTGATGTTATTCAGAGCCACCTCAATCTCGGGGAGCAGGTCAATGATCTTCTGCTTGCAGCCCAAGAGCTTGCTGGAATGAAAAGCAGACACAAAATCACTTCCCAGCACATTTTAACAAAACCAAAAGGATCTTGGGATCCAAGATACTTGAAAAATTCATGTACAAATCACTGCGTTATCTTCTCTGTAACACTACTGCTTTTTTTTTTTTTTCCTTTGAATTTGAAGGAACTTTTTTTCCTTTGAATTTTGCAGGAATTTTAATTTTTTTTTTCCTTTGAAGATTTGTATTCCAACTTCCAACTGGCAGAATTTGCCTCATTTTAAAGTGAACTCTTGGATGCTAACAATGTTTTTAAAAATGAAGTGGAAACTCAACACAAAGGAGCAGAATTAAAGCTATGAGAAATGTGAATGGAGCCTTTTGGGTTCTGACCTCCATGGTTTTCCCTATCCTTTCTGACGACAAAGCTACAAATGCTGCAAGTTGGATTTGTTTGGGGTTTTTTGTCTGCATAAAGTACCTGAGGTGGCCAAAGAGCTCCTTGAGGACTCGGTCCTGGCTCTGCACTGTCTGCACAATGATCTTCACCATGTCTGTGCTGTCACTGTAGGCATGATCTGCAAGGGCCAGCAACCACCACATTAGTAAATCCTAACAGTATTGCCTGGGTTTCAGTTCAGAACAATTAATCATGGGGTAAAAGTGTGAAAGTCTTTAAATCATCTTCTTCCATACCTGGAGGTCGTGTTTTTAATTGCTTGTACAGGTCTATGGCTCTCTGCTCCCTTTAAAAAGAAGAATATGATTCAGGCAGGTGTCAGCAGCCAGCTGACTCAGGAGAAAAAGCACTGCAGTGAAGGGATGCCTTTTGGAACTCAGACACTGGACCTTCTCCTACAGTGGGCCACAAGCATGGCCTTTGGAACACAGGGATCCCTTTCTGTGATGGAATCCAACACTTTCCCCAAAGCTGTCTCTCTTTTTCTCCAGCTATGCAATTTCTTCTCAGAAAACCACACCAAGCGGAGCTTATTTTCAGTTTCAATTCTTCCCATGGCTTAGCTGTGATTCCTTTCCCCTTCATTATCTGATTTAATTTTTGAAACTCTGACTGTACAACTGCCTGAGAAGTTCTTGTTCCTGCTCTGCATTTTTTGCCTGAATTTTAGTGATATTTTGTAAATGGAAAGAGACAGCTGCATCACAAGCAAGACGACCGTGCTTCTCTTCTTCCCATTAAATAAACATTACTTCTTTCAAGCATTTCAAAAAGTCACACTGAAAACTTCCAGCCTTGAACAAAATCCTCCCTGTTCTAAATCCCAGTCTGTCAGAAACAAGCAGCAGCTTCCCAGCCCTAATCCTGGTGGAACTGCAGCAGTGGAATTGCTTAAAAATAATGTTTAAGGAGGCACAATCCTGGTTAGTTTGAGCAGCTGCTGCAGGAGGTGGCTTCTCCTTTGCACCACTTCCTCCCCTGTGCACCAGTTCTGCTGCAACTACACAGGATGAAAAGCAACTTTGCAAAGAGGGAGGGGGGAGAACATACCAGGAGCAGGCACATTTCCTCCCTGAACAGTCAGAGCTGTTCTGAAGAGCTCTTATTGACAGGTTTAATGGCTGTTCAATCCTTTTCTTTTAGAACTGCCACTTGTGCTCTCAGCAGCAGCCCAGTAACTGCTTCCTATCTCTCCTCAAGATCAAAAATACCATTTAGCTCTTTTGTATTTTAATACTTAAAAAAAAAAAAAATCAACTTTCCAAATATCCAAGTACCCATGAGACAGTTACCCTTGATTTGAAAATACTGAAGGTAATAGGGTTTTACAATGCTCATGTAGTTTTCTCATTCAACAGTAAGAAAGTCATTCCTCTCCAACACAAAAGGAAATCCCCACTTGAGACCAAGATTTATCTTAGAACTAGGCTCTTGAAAGATGAGGTTTCACAGTTCAGTGTCCCACGAGTGGTGGGATCTTTCCTTTCACAAGCAAAATGATCTCAAATCAACCATACATTACTCTGTACTTGTGGTTTGCATTTCAAAATCGCTGAGGGAACCAGCTACAGAGGGGAAAAAACCCCCTCAGACACTGAAATACACAAGATCCAATTTTCTGCAGTAAGAATGAGCAGCACAGAACTCACAGGCTCTCCATGACCTCTCCTTGGCGCCTTGCATACGGACTCTTCTGCAGCTCCACGATCTCCGTGTGCAGAGCCATGATCTGCTCATCCAGGTAGCCAATGTCTTCAGCCTGAGTTGAAATGTGGGCACAGATCAGGCTCAAGGAGAGCAATCAAGGAGATAAAGATCCCCAGAACACTTGTTTAGATAATGGGCAGACTGCCTGGAGAGTTTAGGAGACAAAAAAAAGCTCCTTGGCACAGCACTGCTACAGTAATTGAGGTTTTTGTTCTCAGTGCATGGTATCACCTACAACCAAACCTCTGACCACCAACACTGGCTGATAAAAATCAGTTTCTTCATACATCATCTCTCTGTGTCTCTGGATTGTCTCCTAGACTAAGATGTCCCTGTGTATAGAGTGAAACATTTTCCATTCCTGCTAAAGGGGAAGGGCAGGTGGAGTAACAGCACACAGTTCTGATGGTCTGCCAAGTAAGTACTGGGAGAGGTTCCTGCTTGTCTGGAAAAAGCCAGAAACAGCCTTGAGATATTCTGCTAGAAGCAGTCATCTTTTTGTCCATCCCTTAGACAATAAAAAAGAGATGACTCTCATTTAAAACTAATTT